GTATTTGCAGCGTCAAAAGAATGCACCTATGAAATTATTAATAGTACAAATCCAACACATCAAAGAGGAACAATTGTAAAGCTACAAAACACGATATCAACGGACTAACACTATTAAGAACATTATTAAAAATTAGAACACCTAACATGATCAAAATACCGAACATATCAATAAAAAAGTAAGTGTATTAACCCATCGGGCTGCACGATTAGTTTGACAGCTTGTTTGATACAATTTATCTACATAAAATACCATGATTTAAAACCACAACTTTGACATATTAAATAAATTACAGCACAGCAAATGGTTTATTACAATGCTAACAATAAACATTATCGTTTATAGACTAATACTGAAATTTTTATCTGCCACAAACATCGAGCCACTTCAGTTTTTTCACTAATATTATAGTTCGGCAACTTTGCTGATATAAACACAAAGATAAATTAAGCCACTCCATGTTTTATTAATATTATAGTTCGGCATCGTTAAAAATTTGTCTAACCAATTGTATGGAATTCGTTGCCTAACCATTGTCCATAATTATAATTATTCAAAGCCTGCTGTGATCGATAATTTTACTGTCAAACCATCGATTTGGCTATAGAATGGTAATAGCGCAAATATCGATCCATAATTTACCCATTATTTAAGAATGCTTGGAATTTTATCGAGACCCAAATTCCATTGCCGAACCATAATCACAATATAATTAATTACATTTATAATTTCTTATGACTTTTCTAGGAATAATGCTAAACCATGGATTTGGATACTCACCCATGATTTAAGGATGGACGAAATTTGGATAGCTTGATATACGAACTAATGATGTACAAACGCATTAATTTCAGGAGTTATCTATAAAACCCTTCACATTCAGATAAACACTCTTCACAATTCCCATTAATTTCGCGTTAACAATAATACATAGCAAATACAATGTATCGATTTCTTTCAGATAAACATATATCCACAAGATTGCATCAACTTCAATAACACTTAATAAACAACAAAACAATAATAACAAAATTAAATAACGATTGGAATTTTTTATTTTTTTATTTTTTTATGTGGACAGTTGTAATTCTTATTTAAATCACATATGACACAAACTTATACTGTTACGTGACATAAACAATGCCATCTATTTTGTCAACACTTTAATAAAAACACAATATTAAGAACCACATTAAATATCATAATACCAAACATCATCGTAATACCGAACACATCAATAAAAAAGAAAGTACATTAACCCATAATTAAACCCAAATTCTGATATCCTAATCATTAATACTAATATCACATTGAAAGTATCACATTACATTAAATATCAGAATACCAAACATCATCGTAATATTGAACACATCAATCAAAAAGAAGGTACATTAACCCATAATTAAACCAAAATTCTGATATCCTAACCATGAATACTAATATCACATTAAAAGTATCACATAACAGTACACTGTACCTATCAATTTTGGATAAATATATATCTTATAGCAAATGGTTCATTACAATGCAAATTATAAACTTTATCGTTTATATACTGATACTGAAATTTTCAACTAAAAGAGATTTCGAGCCATTTCAATTTTTTTATTAATGTTATAGTTTGGCACCTTTAAAAATTGTCTAACAAATTGTATGGAATTCGTTGCCTAATCATTATCCATAATTATGATTCCTCAAAGCCTACTGTGGTCGATAACTTCACTATCAAACCATCAATTTGGCTATAGGATGGTAATAAGGCAAACACCGATATATAATTCATCCATCATTTAAGAATGCTTGAAATTTCAACAGATGAAGGTATCATCACAGTCTACATTGCATTGCCGAACCATAACCATGATGTAATTAATTGCATTTATAATTTGTTTAAAAAACTCGATTTGTTTGTTGTAATTCATTCCCATAAAATATCATGATCCAACAAGCACACATTTGATATATTGCCTCAGTATTAATAAATACATAGATGATTTCATTCATAAATCACAAAATCGAACCTCAACTATTATCAGATAATGCTACTTTATGACAACGGTGCACCAAGCAACACAAATTGATAATAGTTGAGGGTCGATTGTGTCACCCAAAAACAGAGCCAGCAAAAACAATACTCATACAACCTTGTTAACCTAAAATGTTGAGTCCCAAAACAAATACTCACATATTTACTATTGACTGGAACAAATAGATAGCATGATAGAAAAAACAGTAAAAAAATATTTAAACAAAATACAAACTATCAATGTTTAATGTTACTCAGCATCAACAATACAGGGAAAAACTAATTGCCCATAGTATGAATATACCAACAACAAATAGTCACTGTTCGGCCAAAACTATAAGCTGATCGATTCATGTTATTTCATGTACTTCACATAGTTCAGTTGCAACCACAGACATACCAAATCAATAACCTCACCGAAGACTTACTAAACACAACTTGATACAAAACACGTTGACCATTGCATGAACGCGTCAACATTTTTCCTTGTAACCTGAAAACAAAATCAACAGAATCAACAAATTAACATCTCATGCTAGTCGATCGGCAAAATGGACTCAATGTAAAAATGACCCTACAAACGAAATAATAAACGCATATCCTCATCCCCTTGAAACAAACATAATAAAACATAATCGATCTTCATGTCAACATCGTTAACGAACAATTATCCATTCTTATAAAAACAGGTACCTAGAAATGGCAACAACAAAAGTTAATTAATCTTCATATTAAAATTATCAAGGAATAGACTAACCGTTCAGAAGGAATACAATTAATCAATCAAATAAATTGACCGAACAAAAACAATCATCAATCTAACAATAACCATTAAAATAGATAGGAGACTTACTTATAGTTTCACATTAAAATAGTTAGAAGATATACTTATAGTTCAGAAGCACAAATCAAAATAACAACTCATCTAACAGTGTCAATCGTACATCGTACCTTTTTTCCGTGCTGATTCATGATCTTTGACTTGTAAACAACAACAAAAACATAAATAATAAAGAACAGACATATTATTGACACTATAAATAATTAACAAAAGGCTAGACGTATTGTTGACACCAATTAACAAATTGCGATGATCCACAACTGAACATGCGCCCCTTTTATAACCCCTTATTTAGACCTTCTGAATACCAATGCAATTAAATACGAATTCAATACGAAGACAGTTTTTCAATGTCAATACAATGCAATAAGTAATAACAATCCAATACACTTGTATACTTGTTATTAATTCACATCTTTGGAATGCTAATGCAATGTACCTGTCTTATTAGTATTATTATTATTATTATTATTATTATTATTATTAATTATTAATTATATATGACACAATAAATACCAACCTAGCATGTCAAAATAGAGCAATTTGATTGTCCAGTGTGTTAAAATTGAGCAATTCTAGATCTTCCAAAATGTGCCACATGGCAAACAATCCGCATAGGTATTCATGGCGAACAACCAGCATAAGTATTCATGAATCTTAGAGTTAAGAATATCTCATTAAACCACACATCCAACTTGGCAAGAGAGAGCAATCCTAGAGCTCCAAAATAAACTAATTTTAGGAATGCTTTTACTTTTCGATTTGGAATACCAATTCAGCAATCAATATCTTCTACAACATCACCGATAAAATTCACCTACATAACAACCACAAATCCTATGTATCAAAATAAAACAATTTTATGAGTTCCAAAACATGTCATCTGGCGAACAACCCGTATAGATATTCAGCTTTATGTATATATAAACTAAAAAGTAGGATTATTTTTTTACCTGTGGTGAGGTTATTATTATTTTTACTCATGGTAATAACACTAATGTTATAACACACACAAATATAAGATTAACTAAAATTCTTTGATATTGTTTCTGTAAGATTTATGCTTAAATAATGTTGAATTCACTCATAGGATTGTAATAGTATTTTGCATATAAAAATCCAATATGATTTTGATATAATTAATATAAAGACCTCCTCACTAAAAGATTACTCTTAAAATTATTTAACACTTGTGATATATGTTAAATGAGTTATCATATCATATGTGTGCGGAGGCTTACATCAAGCGCAACACGTTTTATCTATTTTTCCTTATTGAAAATATTATTTCATTGTCTAACTAACATTATAAATTGAGATTAATTGTAAAGCAGACGTGAGTCAATAATGGTTGGTATCAATTCACCTATCATATTGATATGAATTCAACACCAAGAAAATCCATAGAAAAAGTCATTTGTGAATAAAGCAACAAGAAGAAAGAAATGTGCAAGATAAGAACAACCTATCCAAGAGCAGCCCAATCCCCACAAGTTGAAGCGGGTAGCAGTGAGAAAGGAGACTTGAACAAGATTATTGCTTCGAAAGTTTCGCATTAGGTTTATGTGTGTCGTCATATTCATTGGATCAATAGATTAATAGACTTGTGTCATATATAATCTTATTATATGTTTAATTGCAAATTGAAAGGGATAATATGTAAATGTAATAATCATATTTCTTTGATTTTTTATATTGGTTAAAGATTTGACATAGATTTTTATGAAATTCGGTGTTTAGCAAAAAAATGATTAGAAAATAACTCCTCTATTCTTCATTGTTTCCGTTAAAGTGATCTATCTATAAATTTACATGTACCCCTATAACCCTATTTATAGCCATTGTCACACCCTCATCAATTTTATGCTACCTCAACTCCCTTTATCTTTTGCATTCTTCTTTTCCTATCTTCTTTACACTTCTTTGTCCTCTCTCATTGCTCTTTTGCTTTCCTTAGCCTTTCTTCATCCATTGACTGCTTCTCTTTGTATTATACCAGCAATATTAATTGAAGATTCTTCTATACAAAATTTTGCTTCTAAATTGGTATTACTTAGAAGAATACAATATTTTTATATCATTGATCCTTTAAACAAAATAGAAAATGAACACATAATGCAACTAATACTTTGTTCAATCTAACAGCATAAGGCTAGAACTAGAATGTTATTGAATGGTAAATCAATTAACAGGTTGGTGGGTGGTATTTGTGCCTAAATTGTGACAAATGGCACTTTTTCTGGATAACAGTTCGGGCAGCCTAGGAATGGGTTTCTGAATGTTCAAGTACTGCACCACTTCTTCCATAGATGGCCTACCGTTGCTCTCATCCAAACTACAAACTAGCCCAATTTCCAAAACTCTAACTATTTCATCCAAGTTTACATTGGACGCCATTCTTTCATCTATTACCTTCACTTTCTCCCCTCTCTCATGCATGCTCCATGCAAATTCTAACACACCCATCTCCTGTTCTTCTGTTTTTGTTGTCTTTTTCCCTGCTACAATTTCTAAAATTAGCATTCCAAAACAAAACACGTCTGCATTCTTTCTTGAAATACTCTCAATTCGGCCTGAGTATTGATTCTCCTTATAGAAGACAAAGCCATAATCTCCTAAAACGGCTTTGTAGTTAATGTCCAGAAAAATACTGCTGCTCTTTAGGTTCCCATGACTGAGTTCTTTTGAACCGAGAAAAGTCAAAGCCTCTGCTATCTGTTTGATAAGCTTGAATCGTCGAGTCCATGGAAGTACACCCATTCCAAATAGCCATCTGTCAAGGCTTCCATTCGTAAAATAATCGTAAACAAGAATTGTTTCACGATTATCACAACACCAGCCTCGAATCGGAGCCAAACTTGGGTGACATACATGAGTCAGCAAAGAGATTCTTTTGAGGACTCGAGTCCAATCCACTCTCGACAAACTCGGCAACTCATTTGAGAACCTTTTCACCGCCACATTGCACCCATTGGGTAGAGTTCCTCTGTACAAAACCCCTCTCGAGTCACTAGCCAACACTTCCATATTGCTAAAACGTTTAGTAGCTCTATAGAGTTCAAGAATTACAAACCGCCGAGGTTGGGTCGGCGGCAGAGGCCTCTGCTTCTTATCAGGAAAAGCTAAAGCCGTTGAGCTCTCTGTGTCACTGCGCATACTATAGCAATAAAAATTCAGAAAAGTTACCGTGCAAAGCCCCACTACACACATAAAGATCATGAAACTACTAGGCCTATTTCTATGTTTTGCAGTGGAGTATTTGGAGACTTGTTGAGCAACATTCCTGTGACAAATATGCCTCAGGGGGACATTAATCAAAGCTCGAACTGTAGAATTGAACTCCCATGACAAAACATTGTGTATTTGTGGTGAATCTCCAGTGGAAGCAGAGAAACCAACGAACATGTACTCTTTCAAATAGGGAGAAAGATTGAGTGGCGTTGATAATATAGGTTGTGATGGAATAGGATTTCCATCCACTCCAAGATAAATGTCAATCCATTTTCGATGACCATCGTACATAATCCAAGCTCGGTGAATTGAGTTACCATGAAGAGAAGCATTGGTTTCGGATGAATTAGCGGTCTTGAAAGAGACAACACTCCCAAGATTCACACCAACATGATCATCATTAGGATCACCAAAACTCGGGTCATGGCTACTGTCAAATTCAACCGCAAAGGCCTTGTAATGGTCGCATGCATCGTTAAGAATACCCAGCCACGGCCCAGGCCTCCCCACGGTGAACTCATCCGGCACAATTAAAAAGGCCAAACCATTGCCTCCCTTAAGATTAATGCCAGGATTGGAGTTGTTGGCGGTGGTGAATTGAAAAGAGAAGGTGGTATGGAAGGAAGCCGGGGTTACGGTAATAGGGTCAAAGAGGCGTATAGGAGAGGAGTAGATGGCTCGGCCTGCTTGGTATGTTTGATCACCGGCTGGCGATGGATCAGGGATTTGAATGAAACCGTGATCTTGAGAGATTGCTGCATTGCCTAAGAGCTTGAGTTGATGAAAGTTGTTGGTGCTTTTGGGGTTGAAATTTTGGAAATGAAGGTGGTGGGTCAGATTTGTTGGAATTCCAGGGTGGTGGTGAACATGGAAGAGTGAATGTGCTGAAAGATGGTTTAAAAGTAGAAAGTGTGTAGATAAAAAGATAAAAAGAAAAACATGAGACTCCATTGCCGTAGATAAGAAGATTTCTCAGATTAATACTGCTATTTATAAGTCGTGTGCATACATGATCATGGACATGGTGATAAAGTCATAATTTAATTCAATTACATAATTAATCATGGTTACTTTCTTTTTTTTATAAAGGAAAAAAAAGGGTATGAAGAGAGGTTGACCCATACTTAGCACCCACACACATCTAAAGGTATTCCCATTACATCTATGTCGTGACCAAAGCTAATACTGTTTAATTGCAAATTGAAAGGGATAATATGTAAATGTAATAATCATATTTCTTTGATTTTTTATATTGGTTAAAGATTTGACATAGATTTTTATGAAATTCGGTGTTTAGCAAAAAAATGATTAGAAAATAACTCCTCTATTCTTCATTGTTTCCGTTAAAGTGATCTATCTATAAATTTACATGTACCCCTATAACCCTATTTATAGCCATTGTCACACCCTCATCAATTTTATGCTACCTCAACTCCCTTTATCTTTTGCATTCTTCTTTTCCTATCTTCTTTACACTTCTTTGTCCTCTCTCATTGCTCTTTTGCTTTCCTTAGCCTTTCTTCATCCATTGACTGCTTCTCTTTGTATTATACCAGCAATATTAATTGAAGATTCTTCTATACAAAATTTTGCTTCTAAATTGGTATTACTTAGAAGAATACAATATTTTTATATCATTGATCCTTTAAACAAAATAGAAAATGAACACATAATGCAACTAATACTTTGTTCAATCTAACAGCATAAGGCTAGAACTAGAATGTTATTGAATGGTAAATCAATTAACAGGTTGGTGGGTGGTATTTGTGCCTAAATTGTGACAAATGGCACTTTTTCTGGATAACAGTTCGGGCAGCCTAGGAATGGGTTTCTGAATGTTCAAGTACTGCACCACTTCTTCCATAGATGGCCTACCGTTGCTCTCATCCAAACTACAAACTAGCCCAATTTCCAAAACTCTAACTATTTCATCCAAGTTTACATTGGACGCCATTCTTTCATCTATTACCTTCACTTTCTCCCCTCTCTCATGCATGCTCCATGCAAATTCTAACACACCCATCTCCTGTTCTTCTGTTTTTGTTGTCTTTTTCCCTGCTACAATTTCTAAAATTAGCATTCCAAAACAAAACACGTCTGCATTCTTTCTTGAAATACTCTCAATTCGGCCTGAGTATTGATTCTCCTTATAGAAGACAAAGCCATAATCTCCTAAAACGGCTTTGTAGTTAATGTCCAGAAAAATACTGCTGCTCTTTAGGTTCCCATGACTGAGTTCTTTTGAACCGAGAAAAGTCAAAGCCTCTGCTATCTGTTTGATAAGCTTGAATCGTCGAGTCCATGGAAGTACACCCATTCCAAATAGCCATCTGTCAAGGCTTCCATTCGTAAAATAATCGTAAACAAGAATTGTTTCACGATTATCACAACACCAGCCTCGAATCGGAGCCAAACTTGGGTGACATACATGAGTCAGCAAAGAGATTCTTTTGAGGACTCGAGTCCAATCCACTCTCGACAAACTCGGCAACTCATTTGAGAACCTTTTCACCGCCACATTGCACCCATTGGGTAGAGTTCCTCTGTACAAAACCCCTCTCGAGTCACTAGCCAACACTTCCATATTGCTAAAACGTTTAGTAGCTCTATAGAGTTCAAGAATTACAAACCGCCGAGGTTGGGTCGGCGGCAGAGGCCTCTGCTTCTTATCAGGAAAAGCTAAAGCCGTTGAGCTCTCTGTGTCACTGCGCATACTATAGCAATAAAAATTCAGAAAAGTTACCGTGCAAAGCCCCACTACACACATAAAGATCATGAAACTACTAGGCCTATTTCTATGTTTTGCAGTGGAGTATTTGGAGACTTGTTGAGCAACATTCCTGTGACAAATATGCCTCAGGGGGACATTAATCAAAGCTCGAACTGTAGAATTGAACTCCCATGACAAAACATTGTGTATTTGTGGTGAATCTCCAGTGGAAGCAGAGAAACCAACGAACATGTACTCTTTCAAATAGGGAGAAAGATTGAGTGGCGTTGATAATATAGGTTGTGATGGAATAGGATTTCCATCCACTCCAAGATAAATGTCAATCCATTTTCGATGACCATCGTACATAATCCAAGCTCGGTGAATTGAGTTACCATGAAGAGAAGCATTGGTTTCGGATGAATTAGCGGTCTTGAAAGAGACAACACTCCCAAGATTCACACCAACATGATCATCATTAGGATCACCAAAACTCGGGTCATGGCTACTGTCAAATTCAACCGCAAAGGCCTTGTAATGGTCGCATGCATCGTTAAGAATACCCAGCCACGGCCCAGGCCTCCCCACGGTGAACTCATCCGGCACAATTAAAAAGGCCAAACCATTGCCTCCCTTAAGATTAATGCCAGGATTGGAGTTGTTGGCGGTGGTGAATTGAAAAGAGAAGGTGGTATGGAAGGAAGCCGGGGTTACGGTGATAGGGTCAAAGAGGCGTATAGGAGAGGAGTAGATGGCTCGGCCTGCTTGGTATGTTTGATCACCGGCTGGCGATGGATCAGGGATTTGAATGAAACCGTGATCTTGAGAGATTGCTGCATTGCCTAAGAGCTTGAGTTGATGAATGTTGTTGGTGTTTTTGGGGTTGAAATTTTGGAAATGAAGGTGGTGGGTCAGATTTGTTGGAATTCCAGGGTGGTGGTGAACATGGAAGAGCGAATGTGCTGAAAGATGGTTTAAAAGTAGAAAGTGTGTAGATAAAAAGATAAAAAGAAAAACATGAGACTCCATTGCCGTAGATAAGAAGATTTCTCAGATTAATACTGCTATTTATAATTCGTGTGCATACATGATCATGGACATGGTGATAAAGTCATAATTTAATTCAATTACATAATTAATCATGGTTACTTTCTTTTTTTTAAAAAGGTAAAAAAAAGGTATGAAGAGAGGTTGACCCATACTTAGCACCCACACGCATCTAAAGGTATTCCCATTACATCTATGTCGTGACCAAAGCTAAGGGTACTTCATGCTCATGGGTACCCATCCGTGGATAGCTTAGATAGTTAGGATGAATTGGGGATACTGTGGATAAGCATATGATCTCAGATTCAATTTCTCGTCTAAACATTCACGATTTAAGTGAAGAGTCGTAACGGTGGATTTGTACATTAGTATTCTCTAAGGATTAGTCAAGATGCGCATAAACTGATCCGCACACTTTCGTTAAAAAAAAAAAAAAAAAAAAAAACTTCATGGGTGGTTCACAGGATGTAGATATACCGCCTTATTAAATATCAGTGATGAAGACTTAAACTTGAAACTTTGCAAGACTGAATGAGATCCTGATCCTTCCTACTTTTCATTTAAAATTAAGATATGTATAACTGGTTGAAAATGTTGAAATTATTAATTAAAATTTAAGTGATAATATATCACATATTACGTATGTATTTAACAATAAAGATTTGATTATATATTGGAATACTTACTTGCACTTGGATTGCCGTTTATTGGATTAGAAAAAAGATGATTATAATAAATTATCACCAAGCAAAACGCACGCACGCATACACGCACTATAGATTATGTAATCAATCACAAATTCAGAAAAAGCTAGTGGATCAAAATGGACAGCCCATTAACTGGGGAAGCCCAAGAATTACCGGACTAAATTTATTGTTATCTGAGAATGGTGATCAACACGTGTCAAAGGTTTCTATGGCCGCTAGCCTTTGTAGATATTTCAAGGCTTAATTTCTTTTTGTTTTCAATAATACTATACTTACAAAAAAAATTTTATAAAGGTTTCCATACAAAATAAGATAACAAAAAATGAATGGAGGAGTGAAACAAAAAGTCAAACTCATTAAATTCACTCTTCCGTTCATTTTTTGTCACATCACTTTGTATGAAGATTTTTATAAAATTTCTTTGTAAGTGTAGTATTACTCTTTTGTTTTTGGTAGTAAGTGAAGTAAAGATTCGTTCCTTAGCTTTCTCATACACGTCTAAATCTTTGATACAGTTTAGTACGGAACTTTTTGGTTGGTATCTTAAAAATAACACCCATTATGTATATATATATATTAATGGTGGTGGATGTTGGCATAGAATTATTCTCTTTTAAAATTTAATGAAATGCAACAAGGCTTTTAGTACAAGAGAAGTGGAGCATTATCATTTTCCCTTTTCCACCTTTTGCCTTTCTATGCACCTTGTACGAGAAAAGAACTCCAATTCCCTTACTTTAAGCATTCCTGCCTTTTCAGTATTTCATTAAACACGTTAATTTGTTGTACAAAGTAGAATCCTCTTGCCCAAATACCTAAATTAAATTTAATGGAGTGCTCTAGAAGATCACAAAAGTGAACGTTATCATACACACACTGACACATCAAATGTATAACCATCTCAATAGATTCAAATTACTCATTTAATAAACCCACTTTTTTATAAGAAAATTTCGAATTAATTAATAAAGGTTACATTTTTTTTTTTCTTTTGTCCATTTAATCGAATCATATGATTCATGCTATAATAGGATTGAATAATTATCAACTAAAGATAATTAATTTTGGGAGAATATCATAGACTATTATTAAGGTTTTTAAGTTTTTTATTCTAGATAACAACTTTCGTACTTTTTTATCAAATAGACNGCCCTAGAAGATCACAAAAGTGAACGTTATCAGACACACACTGACACATCAAATGTATAACCATCTCAATAGATTCAAATTACTCATTTAATAAACCCACTTTTTTATAAGAAAATTCCGGATTAATTAATAAAGGTTACATTTTTTTTTTTCTTTTGTCCATTTAATCGAATCATATGATTCATGCTATAATAGGATTGAATAATTATCAACTAAAGATAATTAATTTTGGGAGAATATCATAGACTATTATTAAGGTTTTTAAGTTTTTTATTCTAGATAACAACTTTCGTACTTTTTTATCAAATAGACCTTTAAACTTGAATACTATATCATAATTGCCGTTTACTATAACTCCCTTATGCTGTCTTTTGTGATAGATGAGTGAAATAGTAACACTTTGGTTTTATTAAAAAAAAAAAAAAAGTGTTGGGTTAAAGTGATAATTTTAGTCTTATACAATGTTTTTAAACTTGGACAGCACCTTGACCTGGTCAAGGGGCAGGTTCCCAAGTTGCTCGGTCCGACTGGTTGGATCGATCGGTATGACTGGTGACGTTAACATATCCAATAGATTTGAAATCTAACAAACACATCCCTACAATTTGGGCAAGATACTACAAAAAAGACAGGTGACGACAATGACGATTAGTGCCTAATCGAATTTCGAGATGATGGCGGTTTTGATGCGGAGATAAAGGTCATGCTGATGGTGGTGTCAGGTGGGATGGTTGGTGCCAAAAGCTATCAGAATCAGGAAGGAACACAATCGATTTTCTCGAAGCAAACAGGTGACGACGATGACGATCGACGACCAATATTCGAAGTTCGGGATGATGGGGGTTTTGATGTAAAGACGAAGGTGATGTTGATGGTGGTGTTAGGTCGGATGGTTGGTGTCAAAAGATACTAAAATCAGGGAGGAAGACAGAAGTTGTCGAAATCAAGGATTTTTAGTGACCTAGTTTAGCCCCCGAGCCGAGCGAACCGACAGTTCACTACTACTATGCTGGTTCAACTCCGAGTCAGTCTGGGTTAAATGCTAAACTGGGTTTGAGGAGTGACTAGACCAGAGTACGCCCTAGTTTCCTATATGATGGCGAGGGTGGGTTTTAAAACATTGGTCTTATAAGAAAGTGATTTGTGAAAACTAACGGCAAGGTAACAAAATTAGAGTAAAAAGATATTTATGATAAAGTTTTTAAACTTTGAGGATTCATTTGATAACGCAAAAAGGTATTAATATATTTTTTTCAAACTTTGAGGGACCATTTTAAAATGTGCGAAAGTTTTCATCCGAATAATAAATTTAGAAACCTTTACGAGTAGTCTATAATTTTTTGCACATTAGTTTTGCAATCATATAATAGCAACGATTAGGTTAAGATAAGATGAATGAATGAATATTCAGTTTAAAGCGTTGGATTAGAAAGAAGCAACTTAAAAGTAAAAGAGTTCTGAGAGTTTGTTAGATAGAAACATTACATGAATCTACAAACTTGTAACAAGTAAGCAAGCTGTTTCTGTACCTGGTCATTATCTAACTTCCAGATTTCTTCAGTACTATATGGACCCCCAATGTCAGAAAACATCTTATATTGACATGTTACAATCTTACTTCCTCAGTATCAATTGCAACAATTAATTTCATGGTCTTTTTTCTATCTTTTGCGCTTTGACTTTAAGGAGGTGACAGACTGAGAGTTGCTATGCCAATTGCGTTTCCTCTGGTTGATGAACCAATTGTTGATTTGCTTTAGTTGCAACCCTGTCTCCTCCACCAGTTTTGCCTTGTCATCTTCCTGTAGTCTCGTATAAGTCCGCGTATATATTTATATCTCAAAGTCAAGGAGTATTCAACTTTCATTCACAAGTTTTATTTTATATATATGTATAAAATGATATATATATATAATAAGAACATTGGTGGACTTACAGTTGGGTATGGCCACTTTGAGTGTTGTTGCCACCAATTTTTTAGCACTGTAGTTGTGTCACCTGGTAATTTCCCAGCCCTTCTTTTTCTTAGTATTTCCTCTCGAACATCTTCAATTCTTGATTTAAAGCCCTGCGTGGAAATGATAATATGATTTACATACTCATTAATGTCTTCAAATAAGACAGAAATGGCTAATTATATTGTTTTAAGAATATATATGCAGTGAAGATAATCACCTGCTTGAGTTCAATCTTCAACTCCTGACGAACTCTCTCCATTAGAGACCTTTCTGATTCTGTTGGAAGCAATGGTCCAAAACCCATCAAATCATGACCCTCAGAACCAGATTGATCAAGAGAGAAATCCATCTGTAGTTCATCCTCATCATCCGACATCGTTGTACCTGTTCCTTCACCCAACGTTACTCCTGAAAATATGGAATACCATTTTCCTTTATAATTTCAAAAGACCATACCAATATATATACATATGCTTCAACCATTTAAAATTATAAAAAACTATTACAATTCATGCATGTTTTTACGACCCTTGAAAGCTCCAATTCCAAGATTTAGACTTTCATTAGCACAAAACATAAGGGATGATTATCGAAAGTGCATAGAAGAATAAAACACAAATGAACATAGAAGATTATCTAAACAGGATACCAAAATTTAATCGCTTGAGAAAATTAAACACCAAGAATTCTAGAAAATTTCAAATTGACAACAAAATTTATAGAATATTATGCTGCAGCTTAAGTTATTCTACGGATAACTGAAAGGCACAAACTCGTTTCTTTCTTCTATTCCCTAATCGGCAAAGAAAAAGATATGAGTCAATCTTTTATGCCAAATTTTAATCACTGTACTAAAGTAAGAAGTTAGGTGATTAGCACTTGTTTTCATTACGCAACATCTCCCATAATATTCTGTGACTAGAATTAATGGTAATTGGTGATTCTAAAGGAGAGCATATTTGTATACCTAGAACCAAGTTGTGATATAGTAGAAGTAGAAAACCCATTATAATTAAGCTTTATTATTACAGACTTCTACTTAATTACCACAATCTCAATATATAATAAAAGGCTTTCTCCTTTATCAATTGTATTCTCATTTTGCACACATTATACCAATGAATAATTTGTTCTTATTTTCCTTTTTAGTATTATATTAATGGAATGGAAGTCTCCTCAAGAAGAAAGATAACTATTAGAAATTACAACACAATCACTTTACCAAGATAATTATGCTTTAGGTTCAATCATAATAACAAGAGCTGCAGAAAATGTTTCAGCATTTCTATGAACTTAGCCGCTCACTATTCTAAGCAACTAGGGCCAGTTTTTACAGATCTAATGCAATGTAGTCATGGTAATCATCAACAAAACTTTTATTTTTCATTAAAATAATAAAACTTTAAGCACATCAAATTGTTTTATTTCTAAATGTTTGGAGCCTCCAAATTAACCCTACTACCAGCTAACTAGGAAGTTCATATATCCTCAATTATTTTATTTTATTTTTTTTTATTTTTGTTTTCAATTCTCTGTTTACTCAACATTATATAAGAAGGAACATGGAGATAATTCTTTGTTAATGTGTATCCTCTGTGTGTGTGTGTATATATATATATATATATAGGGTAATCTCAAAGACAATATAGTTAATATAGAGAAAATTATAATGAACGATGGTGATTGATTAATTAAAAACAAAACTTCTAAACCTAACTCAATTATTGGGAGGGAAAACCTCCAAACAAAGATACTTTAACAAATTAAGAAAGCTAATAAGAATTAAAACTACTGTTCCATAGCCGTCCATTTGGGCGGTGCTGATGGCGGCAGCAGTGATGGTGGTGGTCAGCCGCCTCCACCAAACAACCCAACTGCTATTTTTAAGGCATTGTGATATATTGATTGGTAGGTCCTACAACTATTTCCTCACCCAACTTTCTGTACGGATCTACACTCTTAATTCTCAAACTTACAAGAAACCCCAAATGCTTATCTTCTTTGTCTACCAAACGTGTAACTAGAACAAACACATCAAAAATAAATATAATATCCTGCAACAAACTTGATGTTCTTTCATAACAACCACATTATTTTTCGTATACATTATTCATTATAGTAACATAATCAAAGATGAATAATCAAATAGAGTAAATAAAACAGCTTTTTTTTATGTGATGGCGTAAGTANAATATAGAGAAAATTATAATGAACGATGGTGATTGATTAATTAAAAACAAAACTTCTAAACCTAACTCAATTATTGGGAGGGGAAACCTCCAAACAAAGATACTTTAACAAATTAAGCAAGCTAATAAGAATTAAAACTACTGTTCCATAGCCGTCCATTTGGGCGGTGCTGATGGCGGCAGCAGTGATGGTGGTGGTCAGCCGCCTCCACCAAACAACCCAACTGCTATTTTTAAGGCATTGTGATATATTGATTGGTAGGTCCTACAACTATTTCCTCACCCAACTTTCTGTACGGATCTACACTCTTAATTCTCAAACTTACAAGAAACCCCAAATGCTTATCTTCTTTGTCTACCAAACGTGTAACTAGAACAAACACATCAAAAATAAATATAATATCCTGCAACAAACTTGATGTTCTTTCATAACAACCACATTATTTTTCGTATACATTATTCATTATAGTAACATAATCAAAGATGAATAATCAAATAGAGTAAATAAAACAGCTTTTTTTTATGTGATGGCGTAAGTAAGCATAAATATGATTAACAGATAAACAAAGAGAGAGAGAGAGAGAGAGAGAGAGAGAGAGAGAGAGAGGACAAACCAGTGAGAGCTTGTAAGGTATTTTCGATTTCACGGCAGGCCATAACAGCTTCAACGGCATGGACTCTGACATGTTGCTGAAGCTGTTCTTTGAAAGTACATAATACTATCAAATATTGTGCCTGTAACCACAAAACAGATTACCATTTGTACCATATAATAAAACATCATCACCCATATCTCAATAAGGGTAGTAAATTTAATGGAAAAACGTACCAAGAAGTTGTCAAGGTCCTGCCTTTCATGAGGAGAAAGAGAGTGTTGATGATGGTGAGAAGCATAAGACCTAAGAAGATGGTGAGACTGAGACAACTGCGCATCAATTAGAGGCAATTGATCAATAGGTGTCGCAACACGCAGACACGATACATGAGCCGCTAATAGCTGTTCATAAAGTGGGTGAGTCGCTATTTCAGCCTTCAGTTGTTGCTGACTTTGGTCACCGGAGACTTCACCTCCTCCACCAATACCACCACCCATTATACCCAAGCCCGGTTCTTGCATTTGTTCACAAAATAAAACCTAGAAGAGAGTATATATGTATGTAGTTTATACAATTAAACAAAACGAAAGAAATGGAAGAGGACCACAACCACAAAGAGAGATGAATAGTGATGGTTTAATAGAAAGAAAAAGGAACAGTGTATTCTCGTTAATGGTGAGGATAGCAGAGCAGCAGTATATCGGGATCTGAGACACAAAACTTTCTGCACCACTCTCTGTAACATGCACGAGAGAGAGAGAGCAAGAAATTTTGATAGATGATAAAAAAGAGAGAGGTTTTAAAATTTTGTATTTTTTTCTTGTTTCTGTAAAATTCACACAGAGAGAAAGAGAAAAGGAAAGAGAAACAGAGATTCAAACTTGTGATATCATTACAATGAAAGGAGGTTGGAACAGAATCGATCAGATAAAGAAATTTACAGATAAAAGCTGCTGTTTTTGTTCCTGTCTGACAATTTGATTGCCTTTTAATTAATATGTTTTTATTTATTATTTTTAATATGAGTTTATTTAGGTGGGTTTGATTTGATTAGATTGGGTGTATTATTAATTTTCAAGTTATCACAATAGAATTGGATTAGGTGTCTTTATTATTTACAATTATATTAACCATTTGGTGTTTCTGTATCTTCATTTTTAATTCAACCAACTGATTTAGAGCACCCAACGCGTTTTTTATGATAGGAACAAGTTTTGGGTAAACAGAAATTTATATTTTATTCATTTTGTAATTTATCTTTATTAATATTTCATACTTGCCTTTTAAATTTAACTTGTCTAAGATTACTAAAAATAAATGGGTATTTTAATACAATGAAAATTGTCTTTTTTTTTCCCAATATTTTTATACATGAAATATATTTGAATAAATAAACATTTTGTTCTCTAATCCCGTTAAGACAACTCTTGAATTTAACCAATAGTAATATCGAAATATTAATCTCATCACTATATATAATAACATATAAAACAACTCCAAATGCATCGGTCTTTCCTATTTTATTAAAAAATAAAAAATTGATGGCTAAAAAATGTAAAGCAAAACTGGTCCTAAATAAACTCTTTCACGAGGGAAAGCTCATCCATTTGTACTTTCGAAATCAAATCAACTATATTTCATTTCATCAAGGACTGTGTTTGATTAATCATTTAAACCATATCACTATATCAATCATTTTTCTCCTTTGAAATATTTTCTATATATGCTCCAATTTCCAATTGAGTTCGATGGAAAACGTTGGGTTATATTTTAAATAAAAGATCAATTGAATGTTATTTCTTTAACTGCTGTATCATTATATTAAATATATGTTTGTATATTATGTTATTAAATGGATGGTAACGTGTCTTCTAAAATAATATTATAGTTTGGGATGGCATAACATAAGCAATCCCTAATTCCCATGACTAAACAGGTGATAAAACTTTTTTTTTTTTTTTTTCTAATATGAAATAATAATAGTGTCATTTGGGTTTTGAGTGAAGTTTACATAAACCTTATAAACAATATAAGATCAATGTTAAAAATATAAAATATATTAATAAAATTTTACAAAACCCAACAAAAATAACTTTTCGGTTGGACAATTTAAAAAAAATAAGGATAAAAAAGTTTTGAAGTTATTCCAATACCAACTAATCGGATTTTCAACTAAATCAAACAACAAATAAATAAATAAAAGGCACACTTCATCACCTACCCATTTATTTAATCGAGTAAGAAAGTCGGCTGAGGGTTAAGCTGTCAATTTTAAACTTCCTAATTGGCTGGTGTGAGTTTTTTTATTTTATTTAATAATAAGTTTTGTCTTCTCTAGTTTTAATTCAATTGAATCGTGTTAATTAGAGAAAAATAAAAGTTACGGACATCAAAGACTCTCCACCAACTATTTGAAGATTACTTGACGTGGCATTCAAACATAGGCACTCAGCCTATTAGTTCACATCAAAAGATTTAACACACACGTGTGACTTCTGACGAGATCGCATTAATAGCAACAAATACAATTATATATTTATTTATTATCAACAAAATTCATTACAGGATAAATAACCTCATAATAATCAATTTTTTATTGCGAATATCTGATTAATGTGGACATCATAATTTTTTTTGTATTGTAAATTGACCTTTAATATTACCCATATGTATCATTTCATATTTAATAATAGCAAAAGGAAATTTCCTATAAACCTACAATAATAAGTACATAATTGGTTAAGTTAGTTTATATTTGCTTTATTTTGGTGGGCCAATTTGAGAAAGAGGGTCTTTCTATTTCATAAGCAAAACAATGCCCTTTTGTTAATTTATTAATTATGAAGCAAAAAAACAGATCTTTTTGGCTTTTGGTTTAGGTGGGATCGATGATTACTTTTCAACAAGGGATCACTAGCCTTTTTATCAATTTATACAAAGAAAGTTGTATTAAATAATCCTTTTTTAAGACTCAATTGAAACATAAATAGTACTTCCAAATTAATTTTAGTAGAGTTTGTTTTATTTTTAGGATTTTGTTTGATAAAACCACAATGAAAGTTAGAGTCTTAAAACAAATCAATTTCTATCCAATTTATGGTTGGTATCGACCACTTTCAGTTTTTAAGTTAAAAGAAATGATATTTTTTATTACCTGATACTAAAATTTTATAATAAGGTTATTTTCTAAGAAAGTTTTTCAAATTGGCTCTTTACTCACATACAAAAAAAATAGTTATTGAATATAATCTCCTTTTATATAATATATTCAATTCTTTTAATTATTTATAAATTTTAATGTTTTTTTTTTAATATTAAAAGTCAGTGTACGTCTTACAAAATAGTCAATGTGAAAACCACCATCGGGTAATCTGATAATAAAAGAATAAAAAGAGATTTAACATAGTTTCTCAAATTTGAGTCTCTTTGATAGTAAAAGAGCAACATGAGATCTAATATGGTCTTTTAAGATTATGATCTAATATGATATTCCAAATTTGGATACTCTTTTGAGTAAAAGAGCAAAAGTCAAATCTAACATGATTTTCTAAATTTAAGTCATTTAGTTGCTAAAAATGATGGTCAATAAAATTCTAATCTGATTGATAATTTTAAGATTATGAAAAATTAGTTAAAATATTTAAAAAAAAAAAAAAAAAAAAAGTAGTGAATCCGAAGACGTAGAGAAGCATCGTAAACCTACTACCTTTACCTTTACCAATTCTTTGCTTAAATATTCGTTTTTGATGAAAATCCATATAATTAAAAAAAGAAAAAGAGAAATGACGTAATTTCCAAGAAAGTGTGGTGGGAAGTGGTAACAAGTAGCAGTGGGGTCAATGTCACAGCTGTGGATTTGTCGTATTCCTAAACCTAAGATCAGACTGGTCCCCCCTCCGGCCCTTCCTCTTCTCTCTAACCTTTTCTTTTTATTTTATATTTAAACTCTCAGAGAAACAGTGGTGGTAGATTTTTTTTTTTTTTTAGATCATATGGTTTTGTCCCTGTCATCGACCCCACTTATTCTTTTTATTTCTTTCTTCTCTTCTCTTTTACTTTTCTTTTCAGCACAACCTCCCTCACACAAGTACACCAAAGGCAATCCTTTCCTTAATCATCCTTTCATTTTCACAAAACCCCCCTTTTATTTACCTTAGTCATCTCCAACCCAAAAATTTCTTAAGTCTAATTTGGGGGGTTTCTCTTTCACACTGTCGGTGCTTAGTCAGATCCGACGTGGTTGAATCTGCGGCGTTGCTTTTTTTGAGGTTTTGGTTTTGTCTTCTTTTTATTGTCGATGCATACTGATTATGTTTACAAGCTTTTTACTATTAAGGCCTAAATCTTTGGCACATCTTACACGGTTGGGACGGCAGTGGCTGATGTGTACAGTGATTTTAGAAGGGTTATGTGACAGAGCTTTAACCAGAAGATTCAGAAGTGAAGGGACACCTGCTACAATACAAACACATCACTTTTTATCTCCATATATCAACCTCTCTCGTAACTTCTCAATTTCTCATAAGAGTTAACGACATATTCCCACCCAAAAAATAGCCTACTAACACATTCCCATCTTCAAACTTTTAAAATACTATTTTACCATTTAAATATCAAGTTTTGTTCTAATTTGGGTGAGAAATAAAGTGATTTACTAAAAGAACCTTTTCTCTTATTAACCTCTTTCATTACTGACAGTTGTCACTGGTGTGGAGAGTGCCAGTGACAAAAAAATCAACAAACAAATCACAAATGCTACAAATTAACATTTCTCAATCATTTTTCAACCCAACAAACACAAAAACCGAACGAATCAAACCCAATTAATTGATCAAAACTCGAAAAACCCTAAGGTAGGAAAGCTTCAATCGCTAGTGATTGGTGAGTAAACGAGATAAAAAATATTAGGGTTTTTGGAGAGAAAGATCTAGGGAGCTGATTGGTTGTGGTAGGGATGATTTCTGACATCAGAAACAATCTTATATCAGCTTGGAAGTTGAAAGGTCACGCGATGTACGATCGATGACCAGTGAGCAAGGAATGGTGATTGAGGTAAAGGTTTTGTAAAGTGGGTTGTAGGGAGTGTGATGGTGGTGTTTGGGTGAATTTCTGGCAAAGAAATCGATCAGAAATCTGGCTTAAAGAGTCGGTCGTGTGAATGTAAGCGATGGTGGGAAGTGTTGAGTGATGACGACAAATAGAGGCTTAGGCTTTGTAGAGGAGGTGATGGCGATTCTGTGGGTGGTCTCTGAAGTGATTTTGAACACTAGGATCAGCCGAAAAACAACAAAAATCGTCGGTGGTGACACTACTAACGTGCGCCATCCCTTGCTAATGTGCGTCGGCAATTATCTTCTTTTTTTTTTTTCTCTAGCGGCCAATTGTTTGTTGACTATTCTGCCCTTAATAATAATGGACTTTTGAAATTACTAAAAAAATTCTGGTGTGGGTATTTAAAAAGTGAGTGGGTATGAATTTGTCAACGGGCCATTTTTTGGGTGGGAACATGTCCTTTAACTCTTTCTCATAATGTAAAACCTTCATCTTCCTAGAAGCCCTTTTTTAGTAAAACAAAGACTGCTGCTATGCCGTGCTGTCTGTCTATATAATTAAAAGGCCCTAGCTAATGCTGAGCCCGACCTCATTGAAACCATCATCAAACTTGTGTTGGACAAGAGGATGCTTGGCTACTATCGCCTTTTCATTCTTTGGTCTAACCCATATGCCCCTAAGGGGGTATTTGGTTAGGGGTAATATGAGATTACTAGAGTTATATCATTTTATATTACTTGATTATCAAGTTTAGTTGTCAAGTAATATAAGATTATAGTAATCTTCAAATACCAATAGTAGTTACTGTTGGTAATATTGAAGGTAATCTGATTACCTCCATTTTCTTAGGTATTCTAAGATTACCAGAGTAATGATTTTTTGTTACAATTTTATCACTTATTAATAAAATTTTAGGATAATAATGCCCTTATTTTTAAATTTATTTACATGAATATAGCTTTTACTATTTCACCCCAATTAAATAACTTTTTGAACAAAATTACCATTGAATTCAAAACAAATTGCAGTCCACCCAAGCCACCACCACCCCTACCCACCTACCGCCTACAACCACCACCGCGGCTAGTCGTCGTCAGAACGGCTCACAGAGGGTCGAAAATGGCTGTTGTGCGCCGATATGGCCGCTTCCAGCCAGATATCTAGCCGAAAATGGTCAGATTGTGCCAGATCTGGCCATTGACGATCAGATCGATGACTCTAGCCGTTGACGACTAGATTAGATCTGGTCATTGACGGCTAGATTTGTCACGTCTGGCCATTTCTGACCAAATCTCTGGCCGAAAATGGCCATATGGTGCACGAAGGTCATTTCCTACCTTTTGTGCACCGTTAGGTTGTAGGTTGTCGGGGGTCTGTAGCGGTTGCCGACGGCCAGCAGTGGCTGGATTGGTTGGGGTATTTTGTTGATTTTTCAAACTTTTATTATGGGGTTGTTTTTGTTAAGTTTTTAAATGCAGGGGGGGTTATAATAATCAATATTAAAAAATAATATAATAATAATATTTAATTAGAGGACAATTCAATGATTTAAATAACATATTCTCTAATTTATTCCTCCCAACCAAATATATTAATATAACATACCCACCAATTAACCAAACACATTTTCCTAAAGATTCCCAGTAATAAGGGTGGGAGAAAAAAATCTGAAAACCGAACCGAAACCGAATCGAAAATTAGGTTTTTTTACAAACCGGTTTGATTTTCGGTTTGGGGAAATATCACAAACCGATTAACCGAACCGGTTTTTCAGACCGGTTATACACTTATACCCTAAGTAAGTATATAAGCAAACCCTGATTTTTTTCAATATTCTCTAATCTCTACTTCTCTTCTCCGCCTCTAAGCTCCAATCTTCTGCACAGTACACACTACACACTCCAGCAATCCTCCACATGGCATACTCCACTCCACTCCACTCCACTCACTCCACTCCACTACATTCCATCTTCAAGTCTCCACACGGCAGCACCCAGTAGCTCCACCCACAATGAGTTGACAATCCAGCAGCAGCAACTATAGCACCATTCAACATCCATTTCTTGTTTTGTCGATAGTCCAGCGGTAGCACCATTCAACATCCATTTCTTGTTTTGCCGACAGTCCAGCAACAGCACCATTAAGCATCCATTCGCATCTCATCGACAGTCCAACAACATCACCATTTCACGTTTCGCCAACAATCCAACAGCACCATTCATCATCCATTTCATCGACAGTCCAACAACATGCTCAACCTCAAGCTGCACCCCTGCTCCAGCACCAACATCTTCTAATTCAATAGCAGATCCAACTCCAATCAATAAATAAAATAAAAGAGAGGAGATCTGATCGAACGGCGGAGAGAGAAACCTCTGCTAATCCCAAAGTCACTGCTTGCTTTGCTCTCGTCCGAGGAAACAAATTTTCGTTTTGTCTATTTGAGAAAATCTAGCTGTGGCTTAGGTGTTGTTCAAGTTGGCGTACTTGGTTAAACGAAGAGGAAGAAAATTAGTTAAAAAACCGGTTTGAAAACTGAACCGAATATTCGATTTGGTTTGCAACCGGTTTTTAACTGAAATCGGACCGGTTTTCGGTTTACAATTTCTCTAAACCAAAAAACCGGTTCGATTAACCGGATTATCCCACCCCTACCTATTAATAACTTTCAAGTAATCCAACATTCCCTAAACTAAACGCCCCTAATAATTCTACCTTATAACAAATGTTTGATATCATATGGCTAGTCATCATTTACATTTGATACAATCAATGGTGCCTCGGAGCCAACAAAAACCCCAACAAGCGGCAATTTAAGATGCTAATCTACTCTTTTACCTGGTTCAAATATTATTGCAGATATCTAGATACATAGGTGCCCCGGGTCGGGACTGGTTTTGAGCAAGGATATTGTTCAATATGTGTATAAAGTTGCCGATATTAAATGATTATGAACAAAAACAGAAACTCTAGTAGATGCTATGAAGTGGGCTCATTACAGTAGAGGCCCTAATCCAGGTAGAGGATGACATAAGCGGACATTATTGAAGTTAAATTTAAGTTCTATAAATTAACCGAGTTCGACTCAACACGGAAAAACTCTTCAAGAAATAATCCTGCCTTATGCAATTTCTATATATCTTATGCAATTTGAATTCTAGATAAGCATTACGACGCATGTCGCCGCGCATACATTTACTTGTTACATCAGTAGGCTGGGCTGGATGAGATAATCATGAGGGTGAAATTGCTGGGCAGACTAATGGCTCCCCCACATGGGACCTATGCAATTTCTCATATACACACAGATTGGTCTTTTAAAATCTGCCGATTTCATCAAATCACAACTGCTTAGATGCAAAAGAGAAGTATCAAATTAAAGGTCCTAGAAATCTGGTACTATATACTTTTTTTATACAGTCAAAAACTTGATCTAAAGTCACATTAACAGTAAATGGGGGTTTATTTGATATCACCAGATACAATGGGAAAAATCATTTACAGTAAAAACATCCAAGCTGCCTGAATGACAAATTCACATTATGCTACACTTGTCTTTCGATTTTGTGTCAGGCTTGGGAGTTGAAGACAAAGAATTTCTGCCACCATTTCTCGCAACCTGCAATACGAAATTTTCTTATTTGTTGGAATGTCGTGTTTTGCTATAATACAAAGGAAATATATGTAAGCAACCGAGTCTGCCAGACTGTAGAGGAAAAATACTGAAGGGAAAGAAAGACATCAACGTTATAGATAGATGTTTGCTGTGAAGTCAAATTTCTACACGAAATGCCTATAAGAATGAAATGTTTGATTTATCATCCGAGATATTCAGCAAAAAAAGTGAAAGGCATGTACTCAAACAAATTAGTGGAATGCCAGAAATCAATCATAACCATTAAATTTTTGAATTACTTCAAGGAATTACTCCAACGCTGTTGCCAAGCAAGCCCAACCCCACCAAAAAGAATAAGTCAAATTGATGCTCATAGGGAACTAATGTTTAAAAACAAGTCACTACATTTCAAACTGCCAAACTAGTTTACTGATATCACATCTTGGCAAAGGAGCTGTCCAAATCAGCCAGATGAACCCATATATAGACACACTCAACATCTGATCAGCCATGCAAGTAATTCAGATTTAATACGGAGTTATTGTAAAACATCAAAGCAGGATGAGGTTTCTACCTGGGGACCTGTTATCAGTCTTGAACTGCCACTAGTGGGTGGCGGTTGTGAATTAGAATGTTGTGGCTGTTGTTCAAACTCCTGCTGCTGCAGAGCTATCGCCAATTGTAGATCAGAACTGCCACAATGATACACGTCATTTCAATATAAATCTAAAGTCCAGATGGACTATGTCAAGACCCAAGATTACTCACTTATGAAAACATCAATGCTAGATATTCTGCATGCTAAATTGTGAAAGATATTTCTTTTCTAAAAATTTGGGGGTGCCTTAATTTCTTCAATCATGTTTTTGCATAATCATGGTTTAAGTTATTTTTAATACCATGCATTAGTATATACCAGTAGAGGTCCTAATGGATTAGATAATTGAAAAAAAGATTTAAAGTAATTTTCAAGAAATAGCTTAGTTTGACCAAAACAAAAGTTCAAGCTGCCCAAGAGAATGAAAATGAAGTGAGAAGTCTTACAAGAGACTATTAGCAAAGAGTAAAATCTAGTAGTAAAAAATGCAGAGGTTACAAATGCCATGTGAGCTCTTCTATACTATTTGTGATACTAATTAAGATCTACTCAATGTAGGTATCGGAAAAAAAAGTTAGGATAATTACTTCATATCTAACCCTGCTTGTGCTGCAGTATCAATGCTGGCAAGATAGTCCTGAGACATGCAAAATAAAATAATTTAAAAAAATTCATTGATGAATTAATGACAAGTCATAATAGCATAATTTATACCGAAAAGAAATACATACAGCAGTACTAGCCATAGCACCATGTTCATCCCACGGATCATTTGCATGACTTTCCACTTTAAATTCCTTGAAATTACCCGTCATAAAAAGTGTATCTCCATTGACCTGAAAGTATATGTAAGTTAATTTTTTTTATTTTTTTCTTTTTTTTTTTTTTTTTTTTTTTTTTTTTGTTTTTTTTTATTTTTCATTAGATTTTTTAGTCTTTTTATTCTTTTAATACATTTTATACTTTTTTTTTTATTTTTTTTTTTTATATTTTTTTTATTATATTTATTATATATTTTTTTTTTTTTGTTTTTGTTGTTTTTTTTTTTTTTTTTTTTTATTTTTTTTATATTTTATATAATTTTTTTATTTTTTCTTTATTTCTTTTTTTTTATTTCTTCTTTTTTTTTGTTTTTTTTTTTTTTATTTTTTTTTTTTATTCTTAATATTTTTTTTTTTTTTTTTTTAATAATTATTATATTTTTTTTTTTTTTTTATATTTTAATTATTATATTTAATTTATATTTATTATATGGATTAAATTTTTTTTTTTTTTTTTTTTTTTTTATTGATTAGATTTTTTATTTTATTTATTTTTTTTAGTATTTAATTCATTTTTTTCATTTTTTTTTGTTTTCAAGTTCTTTTATTATTCTTTTTTTTTTTTTTTTTTTCTTTTTTTTTTTTTTTTTATTTAATTCAATTTAATTATATTATTTTATTATTTTATGAAATTTAATATTATATCTGATTTTTATTATATTATTCTTTTTTCTTGTCTTGTCTTTTTTTTTTGTAATGTTATTTCATTTTAAGTATTTTTTTTTTTTTTATTTTTTTTTTTCTTTTTTAATTTTTGTTTTTTTTTTTTTTTTTTATATTATTTATTTTATTTTTTTTGTTTTTATTTTATTTTATTTTTTTTTTTTTAATATTATTTTTTTTTTTTAATTTTAATTTTATCTTTTTTGTTTTTTTTTTTTTTTATTTTTTTTTTTTTTTTTTTTTTTTTTTTTTTTTTTTTTTTGTTTTTGTTTTTATTTTTTTTTTTTTTATTTTTTGTTTTTTTAATTTAATTTATTTTATTATTTTTTTTTTTTTTATTTTTTTTCTTTTCAATTTTTTTTTGTTTTGTTTTTTTTTCTTTTTTTTTATTTTTCTTATTTTTTTTTTTCTTTTTTATTTTATTGATTTTAATTTATTTTTTTTTTATTATATTATTTTATTAAATCTAATTTTTAATTTTTTTTTTTTTTTTTTTTTTTTTTTTTTTTTAAATAATTTATTTTTTTTTTTTTTACTTCTTTTTTTTCATCATTTTTTTTTTGTTTTTAAATTTTTTTATTATTTATTTTATTAATAATAATATTATTTTTTTTTTTTTTATTATTTTTTTATTCTTTTTTCCTAAATTTTTTTTAAATTTTTTTTTTTTTTTTTTGTTTTTTGTAAATTCTATCTTTCTTTATTTTTTTTTTTTTTTTTTTTTTTTATGGTTGTTTATTTTTTTTTTTTTTATTTTTTCCTCAACAATTAAAAGCAGGGAGCATTATATATTTTATGCACTGTATATTACCTTAATAATAGAAAAAAATATTTAAAGGAAATGATGAGTAAAGATTCTAAGTAAAGAATTATGTGTAGTTAAATGATTTATGTTACTTTTATTTTACTTCTTTGTGAAAATCTCCATTTATAGAGATTCAGATTTCATAAGGATTTCAATTATAAAAATTCAATTTGATTTTGTATTCTTTTAGCCATATTGTTTTTACTCTCTTCAGCGAAGATAAATGATTTCATTCAAATATTTTAATAAATTTATTGAAATGAAAATGTATTTTCTAAATTAGTGTCATCTCAAACTATCATTTTTTTATTTTATAGGAAACATGGAGTATATAGAAAATGAGAATAAAATTTTACAATTGTGGACCAAGTGTCCACTGCAAGAGTGATAGATCTTTACAAAAAATCAGAAAGAACATTGTGTAATCTGTGCAATATGAACACCTAAAAGAGAGAAAGATAGCAACAGCCCATAATCCACAAACAAGTAGAACACATCATCTCAAACTGTCATATTACAATTGATGCAAGGAAAAATTATTAATTTATTTTTCAAAAATGGAAATTCTAATAAATAAATAATAATAATAGAAATTTGTAATATCCAATTTTCATAAAAAGAATATGTAAAGGTAACACATAAACTTAACATTTAAAGAGGCACTTCCTTTCCTGATGATTCATTATGACAGAACTGTCACATAAGAATTCAAATGAAAAGATACACAAAATTAAAAATGAATCTTGACTTGAAAAATAACAGCCCATAGAAAGAATTGAGCTGATTTTTTTCTTTCAGTGAAATTTAACTTGATTAAAATAAAAGAAGTCATCAAATATTTGCACTTTATTCATGATTGCCAAGACAACAGAAAATTAACAATAAATAAGAATATTAAAATATATATTATTTACTAAAATAAAATTAAAATTCCAAATCTGTACTAAATTCTTATGAAAACGTAAGTTGTAAAAAAAAAAAAAATAATAATTTTGCTTAATTATGGTTGAACATTTTTCCTGACATGTTAGTATCACATAATGTGTTTAAGTAAACTATAAATATCATGGAAGTATGACAAAATGTGTTTATGTAAAAGATAAATTTTTATTGCTAAAAGTGGTATACTGTGCAGGGACCATAAAAGAAATTGACTTTTGAGACTTGGATTTATCGTAGGGTCAGATAAAGAAGTCTTTATTTTGTATAAATTCCAATAATCCAGATTAAAGCACGATTTTTGTGTGTGTGTGTGTGTTTGTAGACACTATTTTGTCAACTAGTATAAGAATCAGCTGTCAAAACACAACCTGGGACCTTATTCAATGAACTGATTCTCTGAAGAAGTTTGTTCAATAGACAGTTTTACCTCATTTAGTTTCTCCCAGACCAAATCAGGCTGATTGATGTAACCTTGGTCTGTCGCTAAAAGATATAGCTCACCATCATACTGCAAACAGAATGAGATTTGGTAGATCCTTTAGATTTAAACTTGAGAAAATAAGGAAACTTGAACTAAAATAACATAGGCATTTTCTCCAAATAGTCACCAGCTATAAGTGTAGATGGCCATTCACAATCAACAAGTTTACTAACTGATTTTTTATTTTATTTCATTTTTATTTATTTATTTTTTATGATAAGACAAAATTACAAAAAGAATTATGGAAGAAACTATATTCCAGCTCCTATCTACCTTAAACATGGTGCTGAAGTGATTATTACGGAAGAAAACACAAAGTTCTCTTTCTTTAAGACCATCTTGTAAGCAAAAGAGGCTGCAAAAAATAATAATCAGAATTACACAAAGGACTTCCTTCTACCGGCAGAATAAATTATTAGACTCTTCAAGATATTAGGACTTCTATATAACCAAATAGTGGCATACCCATAAAAGGTCAATTGACTAGCATTGTTCTTCAAAAAGTTCTTGATAAGTTCCCCTGAGTGAATTAAGATCAGAGAAAAAGAATTAGAATAATATCAAGAATGCACAATATGAACACAAAGTGAATATACACAACCTACACCTTATTGGCTAAGGAGCATCAACCAATCACCTACCTTGTTGTGAAGTAATTTCATCCTTAGACCTTGCAGCATCTGATGTGCTTTTGTCAGCTTGCTCTGCAAGAATCACCTCACCTTCATACACAGGCTCCCGGTCTCCATATGTGCCAGTTCCTGAATCTAATATACATTCCTCTCCTTCATATATGGGTTCACTGTCATCAACACTTGAAGTAAAAGTTTCAGGCAAATCTGTGTGCTGTATTCTGCCACTAGATGAATCCGAATCAGCATTAGGAACAGATAGGCATGAAACTTCTTCTGTGCTACACCAACTAAGATTATCAACTGGTTCATGGACATCAGTTGCAGAAGCGGATAGATTATCAACTTTTGCATCCCCTTGAGAAATATCCACATGTGTCTCCACCATAGATGCGGCATCTTTTCCAGCAGAAAGAGAAACTGCTTCTTCAACCTGGACCAATGTTTCAACACCACTCTTCTCAACCAAATTGTTACAGAGGATATGATCTACAGATGTTATTTTCGATGACTGATCAAGTATAACACTCCCATCAGTCTTTGAGGCTGAACATGCTTCTCTGCCTAAAACACTCTCAAAAGTTGCGAGGTTATTATTACCCTGATTGCTCAAGGCAGTGAAATTATCTGACATGGAAGCTTCAGGCGGATGTAAACTTTGATTCTTATCACCATTGTGCCCCTCTAATGTATGTACAGTATCTGAAGGCAATATTTTTTTAGAACATGTACTTTCATCTGAACTGATAGACATAGTCACTCCACTAACACTTGGTGCACGAGAATCACCCAATGAAATTGGCATTTCAGTTTCTGACAATTTCAAGACTCTCGATAGCTCTTCTTCTTCCTCAAGATCCCCTTTTCTTCCTGTTGACTGATCAGGGGTCGAATGGGGAGAATCATCAAAAGATTTGGTTTTTGAAAGGCATGGAGAAGGAACTCCCAGAGTTGCAGTTGTTGCAGCAGCAAAATCAATACAATCTTCTTCAGAGTTACTTTTACTTTCACCTCCCATGGTTTCCAGTGCTACAAGCTCCCCCATCAGAGAATTGTAGGACTTGGACCCAATTGCAATAGCTGTATCATAATCCTGGTACATGCACATAATATAAACTAGTTAGCCACACCCAAGGTATGCATGGTATAGTTCTTAATATTAAATCATGACATACCAACCACATTACAACAAAAGATTCCGTTCCAACAAAGAACCAAAGTCCTAGCCAGCATACAAATAAGTAAATCAAGAACCAATAGAGAGAAAAGCTTCATAGCCCACACTGCTACACCTGATTGAAACCGAGCAAAAAATTGTAGAACTCAACTCATGTTGATAAATTGGCATGTCGAACACTTTAGGGCACCAATCTCATATTTTTTTCAACTCTTAACATTCATATTTTGAGTCATAAACAAATAACCTTCATTTCCTCAAAACTATGTGAATTATGAAGGTGCTATGGAATTTTATCAAGAACTCATCTTGTTATCACTTTCATCAATTGCTCTACATAGAAAATGACAATCATAGCAGTAAGAATGTACAATTAGTTATGCCCCAATTCAAACATTATGTGTAGAATAATAGAATTTTAAGAGTTGTTACATCCACCAGCCTATGCCCATATCAACATAAAAGCGCATACTAGTTATGAAAAATTGGTGAAATCATGGAAAAGAAACAACACAAGCACTGTCCCCAAGTAAGCCAGGGAAGGGAGCCTTCTCAAAACTAATCATGGTTACACGTTTGGAATAGTCTTCGGTGCCCAAACCTCCAACCAGAGTGATAGATCAGACTGGAACTATAATAATTATTGGGACCAATGTGGCCTGAAAAAGCATACCTGGGGATCAACTATCCAACCATGATACAGGGGAATGTCAAGTAGATCAAATATGGCACACTCCCGTGTGAACTCAAAATCATCTATCCTGTAAATGTGATGTTATTTCAATAAGAACTTAAGAGGAATAGAATTGACAACTATAAATGAGAGACAGAGGTCTAACCTCCTAAACTTAATATTTACATCAATCCCAGTTGCAAGGCGTGGAAGTAAATCAATAGCATCTGCGATATTCTGCTCTTGATTTTCAACATACCCTGCATCTTTATTCTGCATCTGAAAAAGGTGTCAATACCAAGTAAAACCAGCAAAGACATCTAAGAGTAATCAAAATATCAAATTATTACATTGACATTACTGTTAGATTCAATCAACCGGTCAGCCACCAGTGCAAGCAATTTCTCCTGTGATACTTCGCCTGTATCTGGACTTAGTTTTAGATCATTCTTCAACAAAAGAACGTTACCTATTGCAAGCCCAGAGGTTGACAACTCAATATTATGATTACAAAGAGAAGGAAAGAAAAAAAAAAAAAAAACACCACAGGATTAGTGCATATAATAGCTATTCAACTTAAATGCAATATTCTTTTGCTTTCTTGTAAACAACAGCACCAGTAAGAGCAACAAGTAATCAATCTTCTTTTAATACCACCCAAATTCTCAGCATTTAAATTGGTGACCAGAAGAATTAATAATCAAGCAAAAAACAAAACTGCAGAAATGAAGAACAATGGAGAAATTTGGAACCCTAGAAAAAAGTCAGACTAATGAGACAATCACCTCAAAGGATTAACAATAAAACGACACTCCATCCTAAAAAAATATATATAAATAAGGACAAAGGAAAGTAAAATTAAATAAACATTCTTGAGAATCTATAAAAAAATAACAATTAAGAAATAAAGAAGCAAAAGAATACTTGAAAAAGTGATTGTTAGGTTGCTAAAAAGTGAATTCCAACCTTCTCTGAAACTCAATGGAAAGTTAAGTTAAAAACCCTTCCACATTTACCATGCACTGCAAAGAAAACACTCTCCACATTCTTGGCAACCAAGCACAATTTTCAACATCAGATCAAAAAATTACTTCAGTTATAATTCCTCAATTCTCTCAAAAGCCAAATTTGAGAATATTAAACATTCAATTGCATATAAAGCATTTACAAATAAAGTAACAGAAAACCTGAGACTCAAAAAACAAAAACAAAAACAAAAATCAACAAAAAACCACCACCCTCCACTTCTCAGTAAATCAAAATAACCTAGATGATACCACAAGTAACCATAAACCACTTTTCATCAGTTGACAAAAGAAAAATAAAAAAGAAACCGAAATAGCAATCAAATCTTCATTTTCATTACAAGAATTTCCAATCCATTATGCATGATATACTATTTGCTTCACTACAATAAACTCTTCACTTTCTAGGTCCCAGCCAACATTAACCCTGGATCTCAAAAGCTCAAGTAATTTTGCAGTCTAATTATTTTCAGAAACCATATGGCAACAGAAAATCAACTATTACACAATCATATATAGTGATGATTAAATAAATAAATAAACAAATAGCAAAATAATTCCAATCATATATAGGCAACAGGACCCTGCACAGAAAAGAGGAGAGACAATAGAATCTTCAACCACAAGTAAAATCAGATCTACATTAACGAATTCAGAAGCAATCATTTATAACCTCTCAGCAGAAAAATTCCAACTTACTATAGAATAACGAACAATCTAACGACTTATAAAAGGTAAGAAATGAACCTTCACTCAATCAGTGCCTAGCGCAACTGATTTGGCTTATTTAAATGAAAATTTCACATTCTTGATAAGAAAACATCTTATGATTCAGAGAAACTCCACTTTTTTCTCCTTCCAAACGGCTCGCACATCAAACAACATTTTATCGTTAATCACATAAAAAGTGATAAAAAACGAAATCACACTATCTTTCAAGCTATCACCGCTAGTCTCTGGACTGCATCAGTACCATTTCCATTGGAAACAAAATAGAGGAAACTTCCCTACTTGCTTGGAACCTAAAGCAAACATTGAAGACTACAAATTATGCCTAATGCAACAATCATCTCACTAATTGATTATAAGTTTTCCACTATTTTTTCAGAAAAAGTTCATGATAATAATTAAAAAAATTAACAATATAGATACATTTAACCAACGGAATTAACCAAACAGCATAATTCAGTTTCAAAAATTGATCAAAAACAAAATTTCATTCATTTGCTTCAACTGACTAAAGAGAAATGAACTTGCCACTCCCATGGAGATCAGACAGACACTGAAACCTAACATCCAACACTTCCGAAAATGAGAAACCTATAAGTTTCATTCAATTACATCATGCCACGTTGCAATTAATTACGGCTTGATTAAACGAACATAATTAACTCATTAATCAATTGAATCGAAATCACTTCAACGAATAGAAAACAAACGTTTTTTTTCTTACCTAAACAAATTAAGCATTTTAACTAAAACTTCCTTCTTTTCATTGTCTAGACAAACAAATTAAATTGAAAAAAAAAGTGAAACCCTAACGAGGGAGGAGAGAAATTACAGATGGCGAGGAGAGGACAAGGTCCATTGTCGTTTTGGAGGATAATTGGCGTGGTTCGACCAAAGAACTGTATAGTCTTGGTTTTGTGCATGCACTCTTTCATCACTGATTGTTGTTGCTGCTGCGGTTCTTCGCCCGATTCAGCCATTAATTGTTTCTATGGATTTGAAAAACGAACAATTTAGAAGAAAATGATGATTGCGATTTGATCACACCAAAGACTTCAAAACGACTCCGGTTTTCTGGAGAGAGAGAGAGAGAAAGAGCGACTTTTAAAATAATTTTTTTTCTTTTGAGTGCGAGAGATAACAAGAGAGGCAAGAGAGAGAAGTTAGTTTACATTTAAGATTTAGGCAGAGAGAAGTTTGGAGCAATGTTATGAAAATCGGACCAGATAATGACCTATTTAAGGGTGCGGTTTTCGGTTTGACCGGTTGGATCGATCGGTTGGACTGTAATTTATAAAATTTTAGTCCCTAAAGGTTTGAAATTCATCAAAAACACCCTTAATACTCCCTTAAGGTTTGAAATCTGTCTAAAACACCCCTGTCACGAGAAGATTATGGTGAGTGGTGGCAGCAGCGACGATCGACAACCAATCGAAGCTGGAATCTTGGGGCTTTTGATGTGTAGGTGCTGGCGACTCTGACGGTGGTGTTAGGGAGTTCCATCGGCGTCGGAAGTCAACGGAATCAACAAAAGAAATCCGACGTCGTGTTAACTTTAGGTGGACGGCAAGCGACGAAGATCAGACGAAGGCCACCAAAAATGGATGGGTTTGGTCGTGGAGATGCCGTCACGTCAAATGGGGGTGTTTTCTCCATCGAAAGATGTCGGAATCCGGCAGGATTGAGCTACGATTGGACCGCGATTGGACTGCGACTCGGCAGTATTCCAGCGGTCCAACCGCGGCTCAATCCAGTTTAATGGTAAATGCCGGTTTTTACAATATACCAGACCAAAAATACCGCCGGTTGCCAGTCAAACTGGTTCGACCGGGCGGTCCGGTCTAGTTTTCAGAACACTGGTTCGGAGATGTGGGCTGGCAACACTTTTCCTTTTTTTTTTTCTTCCCTTTCTTTCTTTCTTTCTTTCTTTCTTTTAGGTTTATATTTAGAGGGAATGATTCTCCCACTTATGGTTTGGCTTAATGACACTTCTCCACCTGAAAAGTTTGAAAATGACACTTTTCATCTATCATTCAAATTTGTTAGTAAAATCTATTAATTGACATGGTATAAACAGTGCAAAGACGAAAATAATCTTCTCTCTTCTTTTTCTTTCTCCTTAGCCAACTCTATTCTCTTTCTATTTTCTTGTTTTCTTTTCTACTTCTTCACCTTCACCAGCTCCAAACCCAGCGAAATTATGCACAGAGGTCTTTCGTTAGCTCCTCCTCCATTCTCTCATATTCGTATCCTCCTTCACATTCACTTCATAACTATCGGCATCAACAACCTCCACCTCTCCTATTAGAGTAGGTGTCATAGAGTCAATCAATTTATTGTAATTGATTCTAATGTATCATGATTATAAATTAATAATGGCATTATTTATATTGTGTAAATCGTATTTTATATATGTAATAATATATGCCCTTAGAGTGATAGAACCGTGACGAGGGAATCAAGCATTTTAAGTCTTGATCGTGAGATCCCTATGAGTATATATGGTGGTTATTATAGAAATGTTCGTAGCCTTAATATTATTCTAATTTAGGGAACAAATAATATGGTAAAACTATCATAGCATTGAATGACCTTACTAAAGGGTAGTGACATGTCTCACATGTCAAGGTTGTTTGGTAACAACCTAGTACAATGCGTGGGTGCCTGTTGGTTGTAAGTTCACTAGATTGACCCATTAGAGGATTCTATGTAGATGGTAAACCTAGTGTCTATAGAACAAATCCTCTTACGGATGGTGGTGCATGTGATCCTAAGACTTGAGATCACTAGAGTGTCGTGTGTACGTAGTGATGTAGCTTGACACTAGCCTAACGTAGTCCTTTTTAGGATTATCAGTATGGTTGTGATTGGCTACATCATGAATTATACAATGGCTATGGTGGATCAACAAAGGATTCATCACTCCTAATTAAGGGAGTAGTTATCTCACCGCATAGTTTGGTTATATGACAATGATCATAAATCTGTGGCTACAGTGGAATTGAGTTGTCGCTTAAATCTGATTTAATTTTGGTTGTTAGTTTGATAACCAAACACCAAATACATCAAAGGTGTGATCTGAGGATGACACTATTTCTGTACCTCAGCCTTGATGAGATAACGGATGATGAAACGGTTGGATTGGGTGGTAACCATATTGTTGAACGGTATCATTTCTTCGTTGATTTATACTTGTTAAGTGGCCATGACACCTTGCTAGAGGCCAATCTCGATTTGTGTGTAATAAGACGATTAATTGGCGGTAATAAGTAATAAATGAGAGAGATTCAAACAATATGGGTAATCAATAATAAGCAATAAATGAGAGAGACGTAAATATGAATGTGAGCAATACATATTAGTATGACGACGATGCTTCAAGTAAGTATGAGATGAGTAATAAATGAGTTGACAGAGAAAGCTCAAAGATTTATAGTGGTTCGGAGCTCTATCTACAAGCCTCCTGCATCTATTTCTTCAAGGCAACCTGCTTGAAGTTCCACCAGAATCGAATTTCGCCTTTACACTAGTTTTCATAGGATTTCGCCTTTATAATAGTTTGACAGGATTTCACCTCTAGATTTACAGGATTTCGTCCACAAAGTGTTTGATAAAAAAGTGTGAGAAAGATTGTCTTTTAACTTAGGCTTGAACACACAATAAGAACAATACTCTCAAAGGATAACAAATGAATACAAGAGAGTGATGCTTCGATTTGGATTTTTAGCTCAAGGGATTATGTGAGAATGTTTTGATATGACTTAAATCTCTGATATTCTCTCAGCTTTTCCAAGCATTGAAGTGCTCTATTTAAGCTTGACTTCTCCTTTGGTTGCAAAGAGCCATTGCTGCATTTAATGCATGTTTGAAAAGCCTACAGACATAAAGGAATGGTCATTCCATTATCACAAACGATCGTTCTTGACATCAACGATCAATTCGTACAACTTTAGGGCTTCTAGTATGGTCGTTCCACCATAAGGGAACGGTCGTACCATCATCACAAATGGTCATTCCACTATGAGGAATGATTTGACCATTGGCTTCTTAAAATCCGTAAAAATTACAGTAGCATGAACAGCTACCTGGAACGTTGACGTTAAGCCAAAAACGATCTTTGAGTGTGAATGGTTGTTCCACCACGGAGAATGGTTGTTCCACTTTTGGTACTTGAATCTTCAAGGCTTGTATTCCAAGATTCGTCAAAGGCGCGAAGAGTTTGAGTTTTGAGAGTTTTGACTTTTGACTTGGATGGAATGAGCATGCTGCTTTGGTTATGCTAGTGTGAGTGGCTTGGCTCCATTTTGGACAGAAGCATGCACAGTCACACGAAATGTTGTTGTGCTAAGAGGAACGTGCATCTATGCAACTTTAATACAAAGGAACAATTGTTCCTTTATCCTACACGGTTGTTCCAAAGGGAAAAGCTACATTTTGTTTTTGGTTATGACTCTTTGTCATACCTAAGCATATTTGTTATAAATCAATCAACTCTCTGATTTAGTTTTGGCACATTAAAATGTCAGGAATTAATCATAGCATAACGTAGCAGAATTCAAAAATTAATTAATTAAAACCTAAAGCCCAAAATCCTTATAAGAGATTAAACGCTATTTACATGCCATAAAGAGATAAACGAACCATTCAAGGTTTTGATTTCATACCAAACGTAGGCAGCTCCTTCAATTGATTGTAGAAAACACTACCACTTCAAGGGTAGAAGTGAACGAATGAAAATCCACACGAAGACAAGAATCCACACAAGATCAATTTGCTAGAATGATGATGGTAGTTCAAAGAAGATGAATGGAAGAAAAATTTCTAAGAGAAATTTTGTTCTCTCTCGGCTTGGGCAGTAAGGCTCTTTCTTATGACAGATTACGTAAAGTTGCCTTTTTATAAGGCAACCCTAATCTCCCATTTGGAATATTTTCCAAAAATATCCCCCATCAAATATTTATTCCTAAATAATTAGATATAGTTTTTTTCCGAAGAAGGAATTAGATGGGTATTTAATTATCATTGTTTTATTCATTCAATAATAATAATAATTCAATATTTAAAACATATATATATATAACGATTCTTTATTTATTTAAAATATATATACACCAACATATATATTTAAATAAATATGTAATCTTACAAATTAAATCCAATATGAAATTGGACACATGCGACAACCTTTCTAGAAAATTTAATTGTTCCATAAGATTTACCAAAATACCCCTTCGTTTTGAAAAGACAAAATTACTCCTATTTGTTATCTTTCTTAAATTGTCTTTTAAGTGTGTGTCACGTAGGCTCCTTATCATATCGGCAGTGGGTAATACTGCGATTAACACCTTATGAATCGTCTCATTACACATAGACCAAGATTGGCCTCTAGCAAGGTATCATGGCCACTCGATGGATTCGGATTCAACGAATTAGCTATCTGTCAATGGTATGGTTATCGTGTAACTCAAAATTTTCATCATCTATTATCTCATCAAGGTTTGAAGCACATAAATGATGTCAGTTTCAAGTATGAATCACCTTGACATATTCATATTCAATTATTGGACCAATTGACTAAATGAGCTATTAGAGTAGGTGCACTAGAGCCAACGTTTTAGCTCTTGTAAACTCATTTTAATGAATGAATAAAAGACATTTCTTATTTATGAGCATATATGCTATAACATCTATTTACTACGTGTAAAGAAAATAGTATATATCCTTAGAAAGGTTGAAACTAGTGATAAGGAAATTAAGTATTATAAATCTTAACTATGAGAACCCTATGAGCATAAATGGTGGCCCTTCTTGTCATGGTATAAATCTGACAAAGGACATAGATTATACAGAGAGACTATCATCGCGTTGAACGACCCTATCAAAAGGTAGTGTCAAATCTCACATGTCAAGGTTGTCGGCAACAACCTGGTGCAATGCATGGGTACTTGCTTGTGCAAGTCCACTGGAATGACCCATCAGAGGATTCCACACAAGATGGTAAGTGTTTGTGGAATATATATCCTCTTACAGATGGTGGTGCATGTGGTCCTTCGACTTGAGATCACCAAAGCACTGTGTGTAAATATCAATGTGATTTGACACCAGCCTAACGTTGTCTCTCTTAGGGATTACTAGAACGGTGGTGATTAGTTACATCGAGAAGTACACTATGGCTATGGTGGATC